TCCAGAGCAAAGGTACTTCTCTCAGGCATCTGCCAAATAATAATTATACGGAAAGTAGTTTTCCTGGAAATGTCAGGCCTGTAAAATTACAAAGCACAGGGCAGTAGTGGGTGGGGACAGAGTAAAAAGGATCCTTGCCCGTTTGTCTTTATCAACCACAGCTGTCCTGTTTTGCAGGTATTGTTGGAATGGGCAGCCCGTGTTCATTACCTGCCCTCCCTCCCACATGCAGAAGACGGTCCCCCCCTGCGCTCACTGTGGGAGCCCCAGAATCTTCGAGTTTCAGCTCATGCCCCCGCTGGTCAGCATGCTCCGCGGCGCCAATGAAGACGGTGGGTGTCGGATTAAGAAGGAAATCTTTATCCAAATTGGCAAGCAGGATTTCATTGCTTGGGTAGAAAAAGACGCATAACATGCAAGTTTCCAATGAAAATTCAGGAGGGGTGACAGCAGCCAACTTCAATTAGCCTAAATCTTAATCCTGATGTCATTTCCTCAAGTTAAAAAAACTGGAATAATTATACCTAAGTCCCTTCTCTCATTTGCAATAGTCTTTTTACATCCTTTTACCCCATTTCTACATTCGCAGCTGCTTCTAGGTTCACACCTCCTCTCTACATAGGGGGCTCTCTGTCTCTCAGCCAGCCGGGTTAGGCCAAATTTACTGTGACTAGCACTCGGTATTTTTTCAACACACTTAATGCTCGGGTGGTGTAATTCCTGATGAATATCAAGCAAAAGCACAGACCTCAGTGAAAAGTAGTGTAGAGAAATTACAGAACTTGTTCATTGTTAAAGGCAGCTTGTATGGTTTGAATTTCATAGCCAATCCTTCTATTATCCTGTGGTCAGCAATTGCAAACAACTTTGTCTCTGAGACACTGGCTCTTCTCTTGCTCCTCTAGACTGGACGGTGGAGTTTGGGATTGTGCTCATTTACACCTGCAGAGACAGCTGCTGGCCATCCAGAAACCAGACACCAGTGGAGGAGTTCCCTTTTGTACAGGCAGACCCCGATCAGAAATTGTTCAGATAGAAGTGTCAATAAAAAGAAATGAAAGTCCAAAATGTTGTGTTTTGACCTGCTTGGAAATTATCACAAAGGTCAAGTGACCTTTGCAAAGAAGCAAAGCAATTACATGCATACATAAACATTAACCTTACATTCAGCAAACAGAATTATAAAACAGATGCTCTGATGGGAGGCTTAATAACTGAAGCAGGAGAGTTCAAAGTTCAAACAGCATCAACGGTTTGGATGTAGGATCTTACAAGATTTCATGTCTGATCTGCATTGCTAACCCTGTTCAGCCCGGGGTTCAGAAACCTAAACATTTTCAAAGTTAGAAAATTAAGAAATCATGAACACATGTTAAAACTAATAAAATTAAGCAAGTGTGAAACTGCAGAAGGAATTAACTAATTCATATATTCATTGTAAAATGTTAAATGATTTCACCTAAAACAAGGCCTCCTGTGTTGCTATAATTTTTAAAAAAAGATTTCAGTCATTATGCAACAGCAACAAATAAGATGGAGAACTGTGAGGGACACAAAGGGGGAACTTTAGGCAGGACAGACTAGGCAAATGAACAGTGCAATGGGATGATCAACTAGTCAGGATTTCGGTTAAATGTTTTATCTCAAGGATGGAAACCTCCTCCAGCACAGTCTGTGCACTTCGCACACTGGGACATTAGCTTGGAAGTCAAGGTCTAGAGGGAAGAACTCACATTTCTGATATGTCAATATGTCATTTACAGCATCAACTTGGTTTTCCTAATACATGAGATATCTTTTCCCCCTGCTGGCCAATCTCAGTGTTG